TTTTGAGGTTGTCCCCACTTAATGTTCGTGAGAGGATTTTCCCCGTGTATGTCTTTAACTTGTAAGCACCAGGAGCAACTTTTTGGACGATGGTAAACATGTCAGTCCATGTCCGATCAAGCTCGCCGACCGACTGACCTCTTGAGGCTGGATCGGCCTCTTCAGATCTAGATCACCCTAAAAAAAGTATTTTCATGTACATGTTTGTTGTAATAGTGGTTTGCCTTCTTCATTTCCTTTTGTTGCAGAGCAGCATTTGTTTGAATTTCGTCTAACAAATTAAGAGCGAGTGAAGCTCCTTCCTGATTTGCACCTTGCCAATCAATGAGCTCCTCCTAGTCAAAAGACGTTGCAATGATAACTCTTTAACTATGATGATTATATTCAACCGATAACATGGTTTCCATTCCATGGGAAAACATGTATGGCATTTGTCCATGGGAAAACATGTATGGCATTTGTCCGATTGATTTTTATTGAAGAAGTTCAGACGGCCCAAAAGACTGAAGGAAGCATATCCGCCCATTTACCTTTTGCACCTTCAACATTCTTCCTTACCAAGTTCATGATGATTTTATTCGCAGCTTCAGCTTGACCATTGGTTCGGGAGTGATGTGGGGACAAGAAATTCACATTAATTCCTTGACTCTGGCAGAAATCTCTCATCCCTTGATCAGCAAACTGAGTTTTATTATGTGTAATGAGTATTAGGGGTAAGTCATACCCACAAAGTATTTGTCCAGATAAAATTTTCAAGCACACTTGTAGTGATTCGAGCAAGAACTTTAGCTTCTATTCATTTAGAAAAGTAATTTACAGCGACTAAATGAAATTTCTTATGTCCCCTTGGAGAATATCCAGTCCCCACACAGCGAAAAGCCAGGGATTAATAATAGATTGTAATTTATGAGCCGATTGGTATTGTAGTGGAGCATATTTCTGACATTGTTCACACCTTTGAGAAAACTGTTATGCATTCTTCAAGAGGGCTGGCCAAAGGTAACCTTATCTTTGTACTCGATAAACCAAAATTTCTCCCCTTGAATGGCTCCGCATTCGCCTAAATGTACTTCTAGTAGGATGTCTTCTACTTCACTCTCTTTAACAGCTTAAAAGCAATGATGTGATTGATCATCGGAATAATGTGTCCCCAATGAGAAGATATTGGGCGAATTTCAATTTGAACCTTCGTGGATCAGTCACTGCTTCAAGATTTTTTCCTGTTTGAAGTAGTGGAGGTAAAAATCTACCAATCCTTTTGTATCATCCGCTTCCATCTCCATTACTTCCGGCTCTTTGATGAACGGCTGAAGAAGCTTTTGGGGCTCTCCATTCCCAACGTACGTATTTTTTGAAAAGAGAATTGCCACTTGATTCTCCTCTCAACGAACATGTTCGATACGGAAGCTTATGAACTTACCAATTTCCATTTTTACTTTATTCAAGTATCTGATCATCTCATTTCGAGCTTCAAATTCCTCATTAACTTGGTTAACAATTAGTTGAGAACCAGACTTCACTATTAGCTGCAGTGTGCCCACTTCTTGAGCTAACTGAAGCCCAACTATCATTGCTTCGTATTCCGCTTGATTATTCGTGACAGTGGAAATAAGAACGACTGAATTATAAATATGCTCTCTAGTCGTACCTCTTAAAGCCAGCCTAATTCCTGTTGTAGTTTGGCCCAAAGCACCATCCCATGAAGGATCGAAACTTGCATTTCAACCCCATGCTCTTCACTCGATCTGCTCGATTCCGCGAAATCCAACAGGAAATCCGCCACAGCTTGAGTTATGATTGTCGTCCGAGGGATGTAAGGTCATACTCACTGAGCTCCACGAACCATTTTGAGTTATGATTCTCGATGTATCTGACTTCCAAAAGTTTCTTGACTTCCTCGCAAATTGGTTCGGCTAGAGTTGTCACTGTCAATGAAAGCTTCTGCTTTACTGATCGGGCAACTTAGCTGACGTTGAGTTTATCACAAGCAACGTCAATGGGAATACCAGACATTTCGATCGCCGTCCATTCGAAAACATCATAGTATTCCTAGAGAATCTAGATCAACCTACATTTGTGACCTGCAGCAAAAGTTTCATTGATTAGAAAACATTTATTAGGATCCTCTAGACCCACTGGGATTTTGACAATAGCTTAGTCAGTTTCAAGGCCTCCTTCTCGTTGGTGTTGTATGTTCAATGCTTCATGCTCCAAATCTCCACTTATAGTAACTATCACCTAGTCACATGGAAATTTCACAACTACGTGGTAAGAGAGGCCGACCGAATATTGCATTGTAGGTTGTTCGTGCGTCAACCACTAGAAAATCCTCCATATTGGTAAATCGATTGTCATCTTCTCCCCAATAACAGAGAGCGCTATTACACAAAATGCCTCCTTTCGTTCGCCAGTCGGTGCAATTAACTGATAGGTTGTCAAATTCATATTTTCAAACGTTGCTTGGAATAAAATGTTCCTCGAGCACCCAGTATCAATAATAAAATTGCCTACTTAGCATATGAACGGGCATCACGGCATAATAATTCCCCGATCAGCTTCTTGTTCGATCGACCCTAGCATATGAATCGCCTCCCTGTATAGCTGATAATACTCCTGCAATGTGAATGACATTGCCCCCCCCCCCCCCCCCCAACTCGCTTTCCGTTGGAGCCTTACCTTTCAGTCGAGTGTGAGCCTTTGAGGCTACAAACTCCTTGAGTTTTTCGGCTAGGGTCAGCTACTATACCAGGCTACGGAGGTAATTGCACTCCTCGATGTCATGCCCGTGGTCTCGGTGATACTTACAATATTTGTTGGGGTTCCGGAGGAAAGCTCCATCTTTAATGGGAGTCACATTTTGGAAATGCTCCTTGTCTTCTATTGTTTCTACGAGTTTCACCATAGAAACTCGAAGTAGTGTAAACCCAGACATGCTCCGGGTCTCCTATAAACTGGTCATTCGATCGGCTATGCCCGCATCTGTATTGTTCGTCCTCTTTATCTCTTCAAGAGGAGCAACCTCTCTCATGCTTCGGATGAGAACAATCTTTTTGTCTCCATCCATCATCTTTTGAATGTTTTTGCCCGACTGCCGATCTGATTTCTCACCTTTGAAAATCGGTTGGATCATATACTCTTCTACCCAAAAATATCGAAACTGTGGACTCTTCAGTTCTTGTGCTAAGGCTGCCTTGGCAACTGCCGGCTCCAGGTTCTGAACCTTAAGCATCTCTTTCTGAAACCATGGAACATATGCCCGTAGGTTCTCGTTCGATCTCTGTTTTATATACCACAAAGAATTTGAATTCTTGCGTGGTTTTTGGGCTCTATCAAACTGAGGCAAAAAAAACTACTTGAAGTTTCTCAAGGAATTAATAATTTCTAAGGGAAGCCCGTTGAACCACCTAAGAGTGGAATCTCTCGGTGTGGTATAAAACAGCCAATATTTTAATGCGTCGAAGATATTGAGAAGGTGGATTGCCGACTCAAATGACGCAATATGGTTAACAGGGTCGCTTCAACCTTTATATAGTTCCAAGGTGGGAACCTTAAACTTCTTCGGTCGCTTGGCTTCCACGATATGCGAGCAAACGCATTCTCCATCCTGCGATAGACTTTTATCGCTTCTGGTAGCGGTCCTTCCCTTTGCGCGGATCTGGCACTATCCTGGTTTTGGGACTCCACTCATTCGGCGGCTTGGGGAGTCTGATGGGCTTGAGGCTCAGATGCTGGTGGATCAGGTTGCGGGAGAGGTTGTGCCCTTCCCTCGAGCACCACTAGGGCCAGCTCCGCAATTTGTCCTGTCATCCGATCATGGAATGCCTGGATTCGTTGTTGTGTGAATTCCCGAAGAGACTCCATGTTGGAGGTTTCTCCTTCATGTGTCCCTTCATCCTGACGTGCCTCTCATCTTGTAGAAAGTATGATTACATGCTCGTCACACCTATTAGGATGTTGGATCCCGAATCGTCCTGTGAAGGACGCTCGAGTAAAAGAGTGTTAGTCAGACAAAACAATAAGGAAAAAAGATTTAAACACTCTATATTTTAATGAGAATTCTATTTGGAGACCTCTTTCTTGAAAATAATCCTCTTATTTATAGTTTATAGGTAACATTTGGCAAATTACATAGTTGTCTCCATTTAAAAGGAGCAGTTACTATAATTAATTAGTCATTATATTTACACATTTGTAATTGCATAACATTTATTCTGATCTCATAACCGCTATTAGCACTGCTATATTTCTGTAACTGCCTTAAACACTGTTTTTCATTCGTATCTGACCAATTTGGTTGCTTGGAATTCGTTCGATTAGCCATGATTCATTCAACTGACCAAACATCTTTCGATCGGCTTAATGATTTTCGATTGCCCATTCTGTGAAGACCGATTGTGAAGAAACATCATCCTTGATTAGAATTATTTCATCAGATAGTTTGTGAATCACCATAATCCGACAAACAACCTGCCTGAAGATAATTTCTTTTATATATGGAGCATCTTTTGATTTTGATTTATCAATTTTCATATAGATTGCCTCAAAACTTAATAATAAATGAAATATTTTAAGAATTAATAGATTTATTACTTTCCTTAAGCTCCACCAATGTCTTTAGTTTAGGATAAATATAAAGCAAAGAAAATTTAGTCACCAAATAGTATAGTGCCTAATTTATGTTTTTATCATACAAGTATCAAGTTTAAAAAAATAGAATTCAAAAGTTTGAAGTTAAGAGATAGAATTATGGCAACAAAATTCTCACATAGAAGCTTCATGAAAAAGAATATTATAATTAATACTAACGTAAAGACAAAAAGGTGTTAACAGAGGAAGAACATTTGAGTATAGATTTAAGTTTATTTATCTCAAAAAAAATTCATATGATTTACAAATTAAAGCTAATCTTAGTTGTAAAAATTTGCATGCTTGTGTCTAAAAGAGAAACCAAGAATAGGCTCTATCATGTTCTCGATGATGAAATCAAATGTTAACTATACCTTGGGAGGAAGGAATCTACCAGCCTTCTCACAACCCTTGGAATCTACTGGAGCATTTCCCGAGAACCTCATTTTCTTTATTCCATCAAGAACTATTTCCCAATTCGCTGGCATTTCCACTATGTCAAAAGAAATATTCACTCTAAAATGTATTTGCTTGCAAAAAAAGTATCCATGTAGAACTAATAGCCGTTTAGAAATGCATAGCTATGTAAACAAGAAGAACAGATCATGTTATGACCTCTTGAAGTACCTTTTGACCCAATGGAAATGGATTTCACCATCTTTGTATCAATATAAGCGATAATACCTACAAGGCAAGATCCAATGAAACATAAATCTCAATACAGCAAGTGAAATATAATAATGTAACTAATTTGATACTAACCATCAAGATGTCTTTCAACATCTTTAAGGTACTAAAATTGAAAGCATAAAAATGAAAAGCTAACATGAAGAAGAGTTACATGAATGTATGGTTGAAAAAACCATTCAAAGCATATGCCTAAAGGCATGCATCAGTATGACAACAACAACAAGAAGCCTTATCCCACTAAGTGGGGTAGCTACATGAATTCTTTTTCTCCACTGTGTCCTATTGAGTGCTATATTTTCATTTAATAAGTTACGATCATTTTTTATAAATTATGCCCGAGTCTTTCCAGGTCTACATTTGTCTTTATTAATATAAGTCAAATCTAAAACATCTACTCTCCTAACCAGATCATCAGATGGTTGACATTTAATGCAACCAAACCATCTAAGAAGACTCTCTAATTTTGTCCGCCATTGAAGCTACACCAACCCTACCACGGATATATTCATTTCGCATTTTGTCTCTAAGTGTAAAACCACTCATCCCTTAGCATTCTCATCTTGGCAACACTTAACACGGTTTTATGCTTCTCTTTTAAAGGCCAACATTCTGCGTCATAGAGCATTGCAGGTCTCACCACCATCTTATAAAATTTTCTTTTTAGTCTAAGTGGTATGTTTCTATCACGCAATAGGCCCAAAGCATTCCTCCACTTCAACAAACCAGCTTGAATTCTACTAATAACATCCCCATCTATATCACCATCACTTTGAACAATAGGCCCCAAATACATGAAAATTCTTTGTGGTTTAAGCCTCATTGGGGAATGCATGAAAGTTCCTTGAGGCCTAACTTCATTGTCCCCGATGAGGCTTAGGCTTTTTAATATAAGGCATGAGCATCGAACAGTTCTTTAAAATGAATTGTAACAAGTGTTCGACTCATATAACTTCATTATTGTTAGACTATGTGTTTGAATTTTATTTGAAACCTGATAAAATATAATTTGTATCTTGTTCAAATATTTTTTAAACTTGCTTGTTTGAATATGATTCATATATAGCTTAAATAAGATTTGAACACTACTTTTGAGTATGGTTTGAACCATGTTCAATCATGTTTCAAGTAAGGTTTGGATATGTAAGAAATATTTTTGAACCTTGGTCAATCATAATTCGAAACAAATTTGAATGTGGTTTGAATTGATGCTCTAATAAATTTCACACTTCCACTTTAAATAAATAATTAAGATTGACAATTACTTTTCCTATTTTTTGTTATTAGATTACGTGATATATGATGGCAAAGAAAATAAACATGTTAATTATGGCACATGATAAATTATTTTCCACGATATGAGTTCATTTATCTTTATGGTTCAAGGCTTAAGCCTCAAGCCATCTTAAGGATCACATTGTGCTTCACTCAGGATAAAACACCTGAATTTCCAATTTTCATATTTTAAACAATTTATAAATATGGTGAAGTTAGAGCATATATGTGGTTAGTATTTATGCATCACAATTTGGATGAGAAAATAGTTTAAAAATTTACCATATATTGATAAACTATAATAATAAAGTTAATGAATAAAGGATATTTGACTGAAATTTAATATTTACACTCGTTGAGAGCACAAGTTGCATGTTCCAAGTTTCCTTAATCATACTGATGCGGCAGTTCACATGGTTTACTTTTGTATTTTTCCCTTCCTAGATTATACACTGTATATTTGTTCGACTCCTGCAATCTTGTAATGTGTAGCCTATAGAACAAGTTAGACTTCTCTATTCTCATTATTTCATGTCGACTGCTTTTGCCTTTTGTGGATATTACCTTCTAACATTTAGATGCAATCCTCATGGGGCTTTAATGTTTTTTCTTTTCTTTTTTCGGGATAGGTACATGCCTTGTTTTGCTTCTTTCTTATGTGGCATTGTCAGCTTCCCATATCCTAGATAATTTACTATAATAGAATCAACAAAGTAAACATGAAAGAAAAGCTTGGAATTGGGTATATATTCTTATGCTCAATAAATCAAAACATGTAATTTTTAAATAGATACTGGGGAATTCTAAAAATTACAAACTTTGAGTATTTTAGGGTTGTTAAAAATAGAACCCCTAATATGTATATCATGATGAATAATTCAATAAGAATCCTATTTTTTTCTCAAAGATTGGCATTACTTGGATGTGACTCCTTCAAGCACATTGAAGAAGTTCACCAGAAATTTCAAAGAAAGCTTTCTCCTAATATTGGTGTGAGATCTGATTATTTGATTTTGGATAAATCAAGCCTTTGGCCAAATCTTGGATAATTATGAGAAATTAACATTTTTCGGGTTATTTGAATTATAAACAAAACCCTTAAGACATTATAATGAAATAATGAATAAAAAGTTCGGTAAGTTCCATGGAAAAATTTCTCCCTTGCTACTGTTTGGCTTGGATTTTTATGACTTTTATCATTTTATTGTGTTTAAATATATGCAATTTGTGCTGGTTTGTGTGTGTAACTATGATTTTGTCAAATTTTCTATAATTTGGTTCTCCTTTTTGCAATATAAGCATAGATCAAAGAACTACGTTTATTCTTTCTTTTTTTTTCCCTGTAAATTTCATACTTTGCTTACCTTCAAATTATTATTTTGTGTGGGTTGCAAGTGTTTAAAGATTCTACACCAGAATAGACTAAATATTTAACTAAACTATGGGTTAGTCAACTATAAAATTTGACTTTGGCATCTTTTTAAGCAAATCTCATTCGAAGTTTGCATTAAGAAATCCTAAACCCTCAGGTTTTAAACTTTGGTATTCAGGTAAGAAAAGGCTAAGAGTCGCACTAAGAAAAGGCTACGGAAATTTATAGCTTAGGTTTTAAACGTTGGTATTCAGATAAGAGTCGCACTAGAAATGGTGTAAACTAAGAGTCGCACTACGGAAATTTATGGCTTAGGTTTTAGACTTTGATATTCAGATAGAGTCGCACTAGAAATGGTGCAAGTGTAATTATAGATAAGAATTTGAAAGATAATGTTGTAAAATTAATAGAATTGGAGGTAAAATTATAGCTCTTAAAATTGTTGTTGATACTTTTTAATATTATAAGTGCATATGCTCCTCAAGTAGGTTTAGATATAGGTTCTAAAGAAAAATTTTGGAATGACCTAGAAGAATTAATACAAATGATACCTCTTAAAGAAAGAATTTTTATTGAAGGAGATTTAAATAGACATGTCGGAAGAGTGGTAGAAATTTTTAGAAATATTTATGGCGGCTACGGCATTAGGGTGATTAATGAAGAAGGTAGAGTCATATTAAATTTTGTTTTAGTATATGATTTTATTATTGCAAATATTTTATTCAATAAAAGAGATGAGCATATTATTACTTATAAGAATGGATCTAATAAAATATAAATTGATAATTTTCTTATGATAAGAAGAGATCGTCGAGAATGCAATGATTATAAGGTCATTCCAAGTGAGAATTTAAGTACTCAACATCGGCTATTAAATATGAATTTTAAGATGGAATTGTAAAATAAAGAATACTAAGAATCATTATTGTAGAATTAGATGGGGGCGCCTAAAAGACAAATAAAATTACCTTTGAGTAAAGTTCAAGATTTCAAAATTTAGGATGTTCATGCAGAAGCAAACTCTAAGTGGGATAAAGTAACAAACATTATTAAGCAAATGACAAAAGATGTAATTAGAGAATCAAAAGGAAAAGTTTATATAAATAAAAATAGTTTGTGGTGGAATAACAATGTGCAAGAAAAAATAAAATATAACAATTTATGTTATAAAAATTGGTTTAAATATAAAAGCTTAGAGAACTGGGAGATATATAAAATGACCTGTAAACAGTCAAAGAAAACAATCTGTGATGCTAAAAATTTTGTTTTTAATGATTTTTATAATAGATTAGATGTCAAAGATGGTGAAAAATATATGTATAAACTAGACAAAGAAAGAGAAAAGAAAAGTAAAAAATTAAGTCCAAACCCTAATCTTTTCAAAATGCACGTGGGACGGTTCTATCGCTGCCTTTGATCACAGGAGAATCCGAATAGACGAAGTATAGTCCTAAAACACTAAAATGGACAAGAAAAGTGTTCTATGTAATAACTAACATCACCCAACTGTGAACTCTTCCGGGTAAGGTCGAATGAATACCAACCCCAGTTCCGTGCTTAAAACACGTACCGGGAGATCCTAATGGATGCTTGGACTAGGAAGACTGTGAATGACTGAAATATAATCTTATAGCATCAAAGTGAGCATCTATTACATGTGACATCAAAAATGGATGCCAACAAAATGTATCTAAGAACATAAAAATAAACTTTTAACAAACCTAGTAGAATCAACAAAATATTATAGCTCACAAGAAAATATTCAATTTCCAACATAATTGAAAAGACGAGATAGCAAGAAACAATTCTGATATCATTTTTATTTATCTTAAAAAACATCATATGATCAAGTTCCATATAATTTATTTATGATGCATTAAGGAATAAAAATATGTTGAAGTTATTAAATATATGTAAAACGAAACACCAATAAGTATTAGATGCAGTTGCTGAGTGATAAAAAAATTTTTAACTATAGCAAGATCACATCAAAGATCATCATTGACCTAATATCATCGTATATTGATGATGGAGATACTTATAAAAAGACTCGATTTGAGATATCTTAGGTTGTATTTTTTTCAAATGGCATAATTATGATCAATTTACAACCACTAAAATAAGAAAATTAAAATAATGAAAAATTTATAAAAGATACAGACCTTAGAATTATTAAAAAAAAAGACTAGGTATGATATATGCAATTTTAATAAGCATGATTTTAACAATCACCCATCAATATTATTATAAGATAAAGCCGCACCTAAAGTAGGATAGATTTAATCATTTTAGATCTTCTATACAAAGAAATAAAGATAAAGATGAAGATAAAATTAATTAATTAAAATTTGATGTTTAAAATCCCTCAAGAGTGTTATGAAATAAGAGAATATCAAGAGCCTTAAAGTTAAATTTTATAAAAAAGTTCTATAAAACTAAGTTTTATAAAAAAGTTGATAGCTAAGTCGGTGTTGATGGAAAAAAGAAATGTAAAGAAGGATGTATGGTAAAACTACAAAAAAATAAAGGAATAATTATATTAGAAAAACGGTTGGTATGACGCTATCAAGGAAAAAGAATTCAAAATAGACATATGTGGTTTGGAGATATATAATGAAAGGCATAAAATGACCCATTACATAGGTATATTAAATTTATATCATGAGAATAGAAAGAAAAAAGGATAAACGAAAAGTAACATGGATAAACATTGTTCAAAATGATTTAGGAAGAATGGGTTTTAACGCTCAAGTAACATAAGTGAATGTAAAAGGAGAATTTATGAAGCTAACCCTATGCAATTGGCATAAGGCTAATGATGAAGATTAAGTTAGACATACCTCCTTTTACTTCCTTGGATAAGGTTTCTAGAACACGGTTAAGACTAAAATTGGATACCTATTTGTAGCATTTGTTTTGAAAAAGATTCTTATAGATGGATAATGACTAGAATCCATGCATTTTAAGGGTGCAATTTTATGCTATTGCAATAAAGTTATAAAGTGAAGCTTGATGATGCATAGCCCACCACTCGATCAAAACCATAACAACAAATCAACCACTCCCACCCCACCGGCAAAACACACACACACAAGAAAAAAAAAAAAAAAGACAGTGAAAATATGCTTCTAAGTATTGATTTCACCAAAATAGTGTGAAAAGGAGGGGAAAGGGTTATGGGCACTACTTCTACACACAGTAAGATAGACAAAGGAATTAAAAAACTATTGAAAGCTTCATCTACACATAAGAAACAAATTATTACTTATGATGGTTGTAGCTGGAGAAAATTCACTTGTGTTTCACAAGCATCAATAAGATCAAATGCTGAAAAACAGAAGTGCTAGTTAATAGGACATCATTACCTGATTTAGAACTTTCAGATGCCTGGACTGGATTATACACAAACTCTTCTATATCTGGCAACCTATCAGACTACAAAGTGACGTCAGTCAGACAAGAGTCACATTTCACATTTTCATACAAATCCCAGTAAATTAAATCCTCAAAAAGATCCAATGAAAAAGTTTTAAACAGAAGGGATAACCACCATCACAACAATAAATTTCCAGACGATGTATAGTAGACTTCATTGAAAGAAAATTCCTGAAAAATTTCTTGTGACAAAGAATCATGGAAACGAAATGGTGAGGTGTTTGTCTGGCAACAGATGAGATTTACTAAATCTTAACGTATTAAGATTTAGTAAATCCCGTAAATCTAGATTTACTAAATCCTGAATGGGTTTAATCTGGATATTTGTCTAACAACGGATTTACTAAATCATGTATATCCAATAGAATTATTTGGCAATTTTTGCAAGGATTTAATAAGTTTTTATAGCTATTAGAGACAGTTGGAAGCCCGCAGAGTTAAATCTCAAGCCCTGCAATCCATCGGTTCATGGGATTTAAGATTTACGGGATGTACAGCCAAAATCCACGGAATCCAGATTTACAGCATCCGGGGTCCAAAATGGCAGTCTGGCAGGATTTCACTTAAATCCTGCATAAATTTTGGGTTAAATCCATTGCAAGGCACCCCCTGAAGTAAAACTAGTTATGTAATTTTAAACTGTTACGGAAATGCCAAGAAAAAATTATCTTGTATGCATAGTTTACTTCCAATATTCCCCCAAATCAAACAGCTACAAATATTAAAATATACAATTCCAAATTCAGCGGAGACCTGAGAATGTAGGATTATGAACTTACTTTGGGTTCGGGTGCTTCCCTTCCTGGAACATCCATGGTAACCTCCACCATCCTCCTTCTGCTGTTCCTCCTCACGCGAGCTCGAATAGGAAATTTTGGGGCCCCTTCAGAACCGAAAATAAGTAGGAAATCGTTTTAGAGAAATAACCATTAAAGATACGGACTAAAGAAATCAGAAAAAGTGAGCAAACCTGGAACCGAGGTTACGGTTTTGGAAGAAAGTGGTCGGGACATGGCTCTGGAGCTAGGCATTTTAAGGCCTTTTCTTGTAGAAAGAAAAGGGACCAGAGAAATCCTACAGCAGGCGAGGCAGTGCGGGAAGAGCATTTTAGAGGGAAACAGAGGACGGGCAAAATAGGGTCGTTACCTTTTCTTTTCTTTTTTCTTTTTTTTTTTTGTTACAGAATAAATCAATATTTACCGATCTAACACTTAAAACCTTACACCTAGGCGAATATCTTTTTTTTTACGGAAGATGTCAATATTTGCCGATCTAACTCTTATAGGGACTCAAATCTCGTGGCTTGAGATATACCTCGGAATGGTTTATTAATATTCAAATCTCGATAAAAATTTATTTAAAACTTTAATTTTAGTAAATTTACAATCAAACTGACTGGTTCGACAAGAAAAATCTAATGTTACCAAAATTGATTCAATCTGAATCAAATCAACCTCAGATCAAGTTAATAAACCACTCTTAAAAGTTTTTTGGTCATATTTAAAAGATTAAACAAATGTCAAATCTAGCAAGCCTATAGTCGAATCAGGTGTCTCGACAAGACAGATCTAACGAACTCAAAATTGTTCAATTACGACATCATTAAGGAACTCAAATGTTCTTCAAACGCCGTCTGATTGAATAAAGCTATCCGGACCTTCCGATCAAAATGGTTCATATTTTTTAATTAATTGCACCCGGAACACTATAAATAAAGTCTCACCCCTCTCATAGGGGGAGCTTGAGACTTCAGAGAGATCTTAAATCTTTGAGAATGAGTAGAAGTCCAGCATCACCCCTGTCATCATCAATCATGGTCGGTCGCTGATCCCGATATTTTTTATATGTAAGGATTTATGAAGTTGACACCACTAATTGAGATTTTAATCCCCGGTAATGACACAAAAAACTTGATCACAAGCAAAGTAAGATTTCAATTATATTTTTAGGGAGTTTATGCAAGTATACGTATCGTTATCAAGTAATATAGGGCTTTCTGATTAAGCCTCGACTATCAATCCCACGGAGATTGTGGTTAATCACAGCGGCTTTCACAAGAAGTTCTAATTTAGAATAACAAGCCCTAGCTTGGAAAGTCGATAAAGGTTTGTTTTTGATTATATCCTAATTTAGAATAATACGCCCTAGCTTGGAAAGTCGATAAAGGTTTGGTTTTGATTATATCCTACAATTATCACTACAATATTACTTCTACTTCTACTTCTAAACTAAAATACTTGGTGATAAACTAAAATACTTGGTGAAAATCAGAAAGTGGAGTTTTTTTAATATAATAAAAGTAATCTTCCTCATACAATGAAATTAAAGACGTGTAAAAGTAAAACAAGTAGCGAGAGAGATTATGACAAATAAAAGCAGTTATATTTTTCACCCTTATTAAAGATGTTATAAAGAACATTGGTTAATCTAAAGTTTGAATAGTTCTGAAGATGGGCTAGGCAGGGAAGATACTAGCTCTCACTCTAAAATTCTCTCTTATCCATCCACCTGGAGACTAACATCTCGCATCAAAACCTAAAACAATAGACCAAATTAGGGGCTTTAGCCTGTCACTCTAAAGTCCTCTAAATCTACACCCATCAAAGATTATATCAAAGATTATTTCCTCAAAGATTATTTCCCTATTTATTTGCACTTAACCATATGAACAATATTCTCATCCATACAATCTCATGTGATTCTACCACAATTGATTGAGACAACACCATCACGGATCTTACATGCTCTCACACTCACAACAGATTTTAACATTTAACATGCAAGTTGATCAAGTTTACATGTAAATGAAGAACAAGATAAAAACATCACAATATATTCTCACTCTACTCGTCAACCAATCAACAGGGCCATTAGCCTTCCTGAAGGTGAGAAATCACAATACATTCAACTGAGTAATGAAAAATACTCACTACACTTGGAAAAACAGCAACAACTTTTCATTGAACAAAACTTTGAAACAAAAAAAACAAAGTACTAGATTCAAATAAAAATATAATAAAAATACTTATCTTAGATGGAAATCAAAGATGGAAATCAAACTCAGATGGAAATCAAACTCTCCTTGTATATAAAAAGCAATCTCCTTACAATCCTCTCCATGAACAAAGTGAAAATAAAAGAACAAATCTCTCACTCTCTCTCTCTCTTTCTTTGTCACATTTGCGCCCCACTTGGGGCTCACGCCGCCTTCTTATTCTTCTCCAAGTCTTCTTCTCCTCTTCTAATTAATTCTAGAGTCTAAGAGTTATTTTAAAAACATTTCCAAGCCTTCTTTATAATTTTCCAAGAGACGCTTAAGTGTCTCTTCAAAACTGTCCATGTTCATTGAATCTTCCAAATTGTGCCTCTATGCCTCTTCAAAACTCCATATAATCGCCCCAAATTCTTCTAGAAAGTCCATTTTATCATTTACAATGAATTTCCCAAGAGATGCACGAAGCACCGCTTCAAAAATCGTCCAAATCTGACATATATTCTAGAAGATATGTTGAAAACTGTCATCGGTGCCTAAACGTCTCGGTGCCTAAACGCCGTTTTTGGGCGCTTAAGCGCCCTCTTCTCTGTCTGGTGGAGCCTAAGCGCCATATTTGGGTGCTTAGGCACCGGCCACTGACAGCGACTTTATATATGCTTAAAAATATAAGTAACTAATATTGCTGCTAAAAGATTTAATTCCTCAGCAACTGTACCAAAATTTAATAACAGTTATAGATTCGATAAAGATGAATGTAATAAATATTCAATAATTATAAAGTCACACTTATCAACGCAAGTATACATATCACTCAAGTAATATAAGACTCTAATGGAGTCCTAAATATCGATCCTACAGGGAGTAATATTAGAATTATGAACTAAGATTTTAGAAAAGCAATACTTTAATCGCAACAACGAAATTCAATTTACTTATCTGTCACTAATAGGCAATTGAAATCAATATGTAATTTTAATAACTCTTAAATAACTAATTATACTAATGAGGTTTTTAATGTGATATTCAATATATAAGAAAGCATCCTTCTCCTTGTCAAGAAATTATAGTGAATGGATAAAATGAATCAGTTTAATTTGTATTGTGCCAAATAGGAGCATACATTTTCTTTACCCTTTGGTTCAGGCATAAAGAACATTGACTAATCTTACGCTTGTTTACTGAATCTACGGCTATGGGAGGATAACGGCTCTCACTTCGGAGCTCCCACGTTCCCCTCACCTGAGGGCTAACATCTACACATCAGCACCCAAACGATAGGACCAAATTGAGGATTTTAGTTTGTCACTCTAAAATATCCAATTCTTCGCTCTATACTTTTATTTCCCTATTTATTTTCACCCAACTTCTAAGGGATTTGACCTCCCTGAATCTTAGATGTAATCTTCACTTTAGTTGTAAAACTCAATATATTTTAACAAATCAATTGGCCAGATTGAAAGTAAATTAAGATGAAGTGAAAATATCATCACAATTTCTTTAACTTTTTCATGGCTTCACCAATTCAAATTACCATTTCACAAATCTCAAGACAAGGAGAAAGACAGAGAAAACTACTCAGATCTCATGGGAAAACACAACAAAACTCGGAATTCATATATAAAAACAAAGTCATACAAACTATAACAAAAGATAAACTTATCTCTAATTTCTCCCCAAGAAAACTCCTTGAAGTTCCTCTAAATCTCTTTCTTTCTTTACAACACACAGAATTCCTCTTCGAAGCGGCAAGGAGGAAGAAATCTCTCACTTTCCCTCCACTCTTACAATCTCTCGATGGTTGGACATAACTGCCGATCTCGCCGTCGGCGGGCCTTCTAAGTGAATTAATTATGGAGTCTCGGCAAAATCTCGCCGTCGGCGCCCTAGTTCAGTTCTTCGCATTTTGGTCTTTTTCACTCCAAATTCACTCCTTTTTGCATCTTTTTGCTCCAATAAACCTAATTCATCATTCCTGCAACAAAACATCAAAAATACCTTTCTTTAAAGTGCAATATCATAAAAAACAGTATAAAATAAATATAAAAATTTCAACATATTTTCCTTTGGTCAAAATCCCCCAAACTTAACTATTATTTGTCCTCGAGTAATTCTAGTACTACATAAAAGTTATGATCTATTGTAGTAAAGTTTTAATTCAAAAATACTATAAGTTTGACTTAGATAAATATCATAGTGAGATTTTCAGAAAAAATTCAAGTAATTAAATTAATTATGTAGCTACAAGATTATCTAGTCATCAAGTTTAAGAGTTCTAGTCTTCTATTCATTTCAAGAATGACTATATGTTGCGATATTAAGTCACTTAGAATATCCAAATGATAGGAATTTCATGGGAACACTACTAGTAAAAAATCTAATCCATAAATATAAGTTCAAAAATATATTTAGGTTTTCCCTCTAGGTAGGTTCAGTGAAGCCAAGTTTTAATTAGGCATATCCTCAAACTTCTCCTCACTTCCATAATTTTTTTCTTTCTTTTCTCTTCTCTTTTTCATTTGGATTGCTTTCAATGCTTTTTTTTCTTTTCTTGTCAGGGATTGTTTTCAATCCTTTCTTCTTCCTTTTTCAAGTGAGGATTATTATATCTGGATAGTCTTTAATAATTTTGAACATCACCTTTCTTTACCTAAATTTAAAACTCAAAGTATTCATTTACCTTATAAATATTTCATAGTTTTTACATCATTGAGCCCCAATCTTTTCTTCTCAAATGAATTTCCAGATTCTTAATACTTCAAAATGTAGTTTCCTTTACTTTAAATAGTTAACTATAATCTTATTCTCTTATACTAAATATCTTAAGTTACAAAATTAATTTTTATTACAAAAATATTTCTTTAAATCTACCATAATATTTAAATGGTCATAAAATATAGTTACCTAAATTAAATTCACTATATAAAATTATATAAATAATTTTTGAAAATATTTAAATAGAGGACATCTAATAGTTAATCTTTTTCTTCCCTCCCCCAAACTTAAATATTTCAATATAAAATAATATAGGCGGAAAGAAAAACTTTAAATATAAATCATACCTTAGTATTTTAGGCACTTTCATCATTCTGAATTTTTTGCAGTCCTTCTCAAAATTTCT